GGTGGGGGAGTGGGGTGGGGTGGGGTGGGGGCAGAGCCTCTGCTCTCCACCACTTGCCACCCAGTCTCTGCTCTGGATTTCAGGTCATTGTGGGCCTAGGGTTGGCCTGACTCCATTCTAGACCACCTGGGCTGGGACTGGGGAACCCATCATTGAGGTGGTAGGGGGTGGTCTGTGATGGCCTTCCACAAACCCCAATCTGGTCAGGTCCTCCTTGGCTCGAGAACCTGCCATGGCTCTCCCCTGCCACTAGGATAAAGTCAAGCTCCTTGGCTGGGCTTTCAAAGCCTTCTCCCTCCTCCCTGGGCCAGGCATTGAGCGGGCCTGCTTGGAGCAGGGCACTGGGCTGGGTGTCCAGAGGAAGAAATGCAAAGCTGGGAAAAGCGAGCTTCTCCTATGAACCAGGACTTGGCTGGGTGGGTGGGTGGGTGGCTGGCGGTGTTCTCAGCTACAACCCTTACCCAGTCTGACGCTTATCCTCCCCCCATCCCCCACCCCATGGCCACTGCCTTATAAAATGCAAATCTGCTAAGGACATGTCTCTGCTTAAAAACTTCCCATCATTTCAGGCCATTCCTGAATTCTTCCTACCTGCTTTTCCAGCTTCATTCACTCACTCATTCAACAAACATCTTTTGACCCCCGTGCTGGGGCTGCACTGGGCTCCACAGACCCAGGGGATGCAGGCCTGGCCCCCCACTGCCGCCCCAGGCCTGTGGCTCTGGCTGTGACTCCCTGGCTCTCAACTGTCTCTGAGTTCCAGCCAGGTTTCTTCTTCCTCAAGTCTGGCGAGCCCCATGCCTGTGCACACTCTATTCCCTCTGCCCAGCACACCTTTCCCACCTCTGCTTACAGTAATCCCTTATTCACCATTCAAGGCCCAGCTAAGATGTCACCTCCTCTGTGAAGCTGTGATATCGTGATTCATAATAAGAAACATATATTTGGTCTTCATCTCATTCCTGGGACAGAGCTCCTAAAACCCTTGGAATTTCCTAAGTGACAGACTGATAAAGGTGAAAGAAGCATCTTTTGTTATTCAGAACAAGCCCCTTTTAACTCTAACTCAGGCCATACCTGAGTTCCTATTAATGAGGCAGCTTTTGAAAAGCCCCTAAGGATGGGGTCTGGTTGCCAGGGGAACCACTGGGGTTGGAACTTTCAGCCCCCACCCTCTTCTAGAGAGGGCCTGAAGACTGATTGAGTTCAATCATCATGGCCAATGATTCGATCAATCAATCATGCCTATGGAATGAAGCTTCCATAGAAACCCTGGTCAAAAGTGTTCAGAGAGGGGCCGGCC